TTTCAGTCAAGAATGAATTTATTATGCATTTAACAATATTCTGGACAGAACACAATTTAATTATTAAAAATAGCTGCAGGTCTCCAAAAATTATGAAAATATTACACAAGGCAGGAAATGAACAGATAACACATCCCTCAAAATTTCACATCGTTTCGAGCAGCGAGCTATTTTTAAAAATTCGAACATCAAAACAGCGATTAACAAGCTCGACAACTTGACAATTAAATCACAACACACAATTTATCGTCCGAGGCCTTTTCATAAGACCAAGGACTCGACATTGTTTCATTATCCACTGACTTACACGACTTTCGAGGTCTCGTTCGATTTTTGAGAAAATCGATGAGATCCCGAACATACGAACACAATAATCACAACAATTCAATATATTTGCACTTATTCAACAATAAATTCACATTATATATATAACACGAGCACAACATGAATATGAACAATTTAATGAACATATATGAGTTAAACAAGACGGAAAAACAACGAGGTACCGTTCTCGGGAAATTCGAATACGTCACGAACAAGAAGCTCGACGGTTAACTCGTCTCGCCGGAAAAAGGAAGGCTCGACGTGCACGGGAGGAAGAGGGAAGCTTGCTGCTGGTTCACGGGCTCGCCGGGAACGGAAAGGGAGGGTCACCGGACGTTGCTCGAAGGGACGTCGAGCTTGCCGGAAAATTCAGAGCTTCGCGTCGCGGTGCCAGGAGGGCTGCTTGAACTCGCCAGAAAAATGCGGAGCAGGGTCGCCGGACTGGTTTCTTCACGCCGACGTTGATGGATGATGCGTGGAGGAGCAGCGAGCAGCGGCAGGTTGCGGCTTCGCTGTGGTGGCGTTCAGCCGGAAAACTTCACGCCGGCGAGGCTCACGAATAGAGGGGAAGGGCCGGAGGTGATGAGAGAACGATGGTGATGACGAGCGAAGATGGTGAGCGAACGTGGTGATGAGGGAGATGATGTCGTGCGATGATGGTGAAAGAAAGAGAACGATCGAAAATCACAGAGGAAGAAGAAGGGAAATAGATCGCGATCGAACAAATATTGCTGCGGGATTTCTTAAGCCAGGAGGAAAAACGTAAGGGTCATATATATATATACTTATAATTAGGTTAAAGAATTCTTGATGTCCAAGACATCCAAGTCTCCCAATTATCACGTGAAAAAGAAAAAGAAAAGGAAAATCTGTCGGGCCGGGCTCGAGAAGGTGGGTCGAAAGGATTTTTGGGCCGGTTGGGACAACAAATCGGCTCACGGGCTCGATTAAAAAAAATTTAAACGGATATTTACGGGTCAAAACTGTTCCAACGAAAATTATCGGGCTCGATTTCGAATGCAAACGCGCGATGAAAATAAACCAAAAAATAATTATATGTATTTTACATATTATTACATACACATTTATTCATATTAATAATTTAATAAAACACAAAATCAATTAGACAATTTGACATTTAACATTTAATCACATTTGACAAATAAATAAACATAATGGCATTCAATAAAATAAAATATAAATATTATCACCAATTAATAATAACAATAATAATAGCAATAAAAATAATAATAATAAATCCCAAATAATCCACAAATAAACGGGGCACTACAAATGCATTCAAACTGGTCCTTCCCATGATGATGTTGTATGATGACTCCGCTCCAACGACCACAAACCTCACCATCCTCACCTTCCTTGTCGCCCCTTGCCCCAAGGCGACAGATAGACTCACCTCTCCCATTGGCATCACCTCTCCTCCATTAAATTCGTATAAGGGCGTGGTCACCGGCTTCAGCTCGAGATTAAGCTCCTTGTTTATCTGCACAAAACAATCATAAAACATTATATCCACCGAACTCTCGGTATCAATGAACACCCTCTTCACATCAAAACCTGCCACCTCCGCCGTAATCACCAATGCATCATTGTGGAGCAACACCACTCCCTCAGCATCTTCTGCCCGAAAACTTATTTTCGGCATTCGAGCAGTAATCCCCACTTCCTCTCTCTTCCTCTTCATCACTCGAACATGCCCCTTCCTTGCATTGCTCGAGTCCCCATCAGTTGGGCCTCCCAAAATCATATACATCGTCCCTCTCTTCACAGGGTCGTGATCCTCCTGGCCTCCTCGATCTCTACTCTCCCGTCTCCATTTTCCCCTAGCACCTCCTCGATCACCTCTTCCTCCTCTAGGTTCATCCTCCTCGTCATCATCTCAATCACTCCGCTCCACCGAATCTTCCCGACATCTCCCTTTATCTTTCCCCTTCACCTTGTCCTCATACACAAATTCCTTGAAATGCCCTGCCCGAATGAGGCGCTCGATCTCATCTTTGAGGTGCCTACACTTCTCCGTTGTATGCCTGTAATCTTTATGGAAACGACAATACTTCTTCGACCTAGGCTGTGTCGGCCCTTCATGCCTCGACCTAGGCCATGTCACATCCTTGTCCTCCATCTTCTTTTCAATAGCCACCAACACTTCTCTCATCTTTGTGTTCAGCGGTGTAAAGTTATGGAACCGCTTCCCTCCAAACACTGGTCGATCCTTCCATCTATCCTCTCGTCCACGATCCATTCTGCCACGCCCCTCTCTCCTGGGTGATCTCTTCCTTGGTGACACCCTCCTAGGCGAGTTCGCCCTCCCTTTCTTAGGCTCTGGCTTAGCTAACTCCTCCAACTTAGCAAACTCTGCCTCCGTCTCCTCCAAATTAATATACTTCTTGCACCTCTTCAGCACATCGTCATACGTACGAGCAGGTGTTTTGGCTAAGGATGTTCGACAAGGCCCTGCTCATAAACTCCTTATGAACCCTCCAGCCTTCACCTCGTCAGCGGTCGTGGGGATCTCCAAACAAGTTTGATTATATCGAGCCACATACTTGCGCAACGACTCTTTCTCCCCCTACCTCATGGCCATCAGAGTCAAATACGTCTTCTCCTGAGCCACAGCGCTCCCATATTGGGTCATCAGCTTCTCTGAGAAATCATCGAAATCTTTGATCGATCCATGAGGGAGCTACTGAAACCAGTCGAGCGCACCTCCTCCCCCTGCGGCGGTGCTGCTCCCTGCACCACCGCTCCTTGCTGTGGCGCCACGGCCAGATCTGGTTGCAACGGCGTTGGGATCGCCGCTCCCTGAGCATTACGGGCCTCCTGAGCTTGGCTTGAGCCCACATTGGCTTCCAACTGCACCGGCGTGACCCCCACACCTTGTGGAACAAGTATCGGAGTCACCGGTGTAGGTATAGGTCCGGAGAAGCCCGGAGGGGGGCCTGCTCCGAACGGTCTCGTCGTCGTCCACGCCTCGTCGAACGATGCCTAGAAGTCTCTCCAAGGAATTCCGTCCGCCATAGCTACCAAGCTTCAGTAATCTCAGCACACCACTTTTCGAACGAAAGTCCCACAGACGGCGCCAAATGGTAACGCAAAACACTCCGACCGGCTGGGAATCGGCTCGTTTTCCTCCTCCTCGCCGGTAGAACGCCGCGTACCTGCAAAGAACTCTCACACCGGTGGTTTTTTCGGTGAAGAGCATCCGATGCTTAAGTAAGTATGTGTTTGTTCAATTTTCCAAAGTAAAGAATGGATAAATCGTCCATCACAAGAAAATACTGACTCCTATATATATAGGAGTGAGATACCTACCCTAGGAGCTGCCCGGATCTTGTGAGCTGTCCTGCCCGCACTGCCCGTCCGTACACACACAGTATGCGTGTGTCAGAGGTGTCAGAGGTGGTTATCGCCACTATTGTTGTGCACCAATGTACTCTCGCCACGTGTCCCTCTGAGCAGAGGGAGATTATTCTCTGCGCATCCCGTTAGGATCTTCTAACGCAGCCCACGTGCTTTCTCGCGTTCAAGCCACGCTCTCGACTGCTCTTCACCTGTTGAGTACTCGATCTGACCGAGTCCCCCGTCGTTAGGTCCGATAAGGGTCTGTCGTAGCGACTCATATCGGCTCAGCATTCTAAGGAGATCCTCTACCAGTTCTTCTATTCTGCTCGATCTTTTTTCTTTTGGTCGATTATCACTCGACCAATACAGTTTTCCAGACCTCGAGCTCGCCCGACCAATGTGGTAAACCGGTCTATTCTTTAGGCATATAATATCTCATATCAAAAAGGATTATTATTATTATTTTTTTAAGAATTTATCCTTGAACTTTGTCATTACTCATTAGAATCTCCTTTGTTTATCATCTTTTCTGCTCATTGTGCGTCTGGCGATGAGATCTAGATCTCTGTCGGAAACTTGAAATCAAAGACGGAGGCACATTAGGCCTGGGCTGGGCTCAAGCCCAGGCTTTTATTTTCTTTTTATTACTTTTAACTTTGTTATTTTTTTTTTCTTAAGTCTAACCCAGGCTGCGAAGCCCAATAAAAACCAATGATAATTTTGCCCAAATGTAAACGTAACATGTAACATCTCCTAAATGACTAAATCCTCCTCAGCCCCATCGTTTTTTTTTTAATTATTTAATTAAGCCCCTTCGCATTACAGAGAATATTTAGACCACCTCCAGCGCTGCAATATTCTAGCGCAAAACACTAGAGTTGTGTCAAATATCTGCTGCAACCCTGCGCTGAAATCTTGCGCTACATCAGATATGGGAACAGTGTTGCGCCAATTGTAGCCCAACACTGTAGCGCAGCGCCAGATTTTTCCCTTTTTTTTTTTTTATGCTCTAAACCATATATGGTCTAGTGTATAAATTTGCACTAATTCATATATGGTCTAAACCATATATGGTCTAGTGTGTAAATTTGCATAATTCATATATTTTCAAAAGTAACAGTTTTGAATCGGTACATAGATGTATTTGTATCTTATTTAAGAAATTCAATTTATTACAATTCATTTTTAAAATGAATAAAAAAATAATATATTTAATAGAGTAAAATGTAGAGATAAGGGCTGGAGATGAATGTTCAACTCTACTCTACAGTAGAGTAAAGTCCGCGCTAGAGTAGAGATAAGGGCTGGAGGTGGCCTTATGCCCTTTGCTCCCAGTTTCATCGTTCTTCTTCCCACAATCCCACTCTTGTTGCACTTGCAATTCTTACAGCGACTGCGTTCACTCACCGCCACCGGCCACCGAATTCTGCCGTCGTCAACTCGTCGTCTGTCGACCTGTCAGGCTGCCACCACTCGGCCACTGCCATCCGAATTCCGATACAAAATTAGAAGGTACCAAAAAAAAAAAAAAGAAATTGTGTTTACTTTACAAACCTAGATGGCTAAATTGTGTATTGTGAAGGGAGAAAATAGCTTATGAGGTTTAATATTGTGTGAGACATCCATGATTGAGTTCTTGTTCTAGAAAGAAAAAGAGAAATTTGAAGCCTCAGGCCCTCAGTGTCTGTCTGCGATTTTCAAATTTTATTTATTTATTTTTCTGGATTTTGAGCAATTGGGTATTTTCGCTTCAAATTGTGTTTAGCTTGTACACTCAGATGCACTTATTGATCTATGTTCTTGGCTTCACACTTACACATTAAATGCTTGTTTGGATAGCTGCTGAGAGTAAAGCCCCTTTGTAGGCAAACTTCCTTTTGGCATGAAAAATGGAATGGTTAGGCATACAGTATAGTAAACTGAGGTTACACGAGAAGTCTTAGCAAGATAACCTGGTAAATGTAAAGACTTTATTAACCAGAATATGTTTTTTTTCTTAATTATTATGTTTTTATTTTTGTTTTGTCTAAACATGTTTAATAATTTCCTTTTTGTTTCAATTTATGTCCTAATATGTTTAGTAAACTCGAAGATTGTTTGATTCTCTTCATCGAACGGGAGTTTAATAATAGTACAAGTATAGATTCTATTATTGATGAATTTTATTATGTAAAAGCTCGTCGAGCACAACTTCAGTGAATATTTGAAGAAAAAATATTATGTGATTTCTTACGAAAATGAGTTTAAAATTCTAGCCCAGTCTATTCTTAATTTCTAGACTCGTCCCTGCTTGAAATCATGACTCCACAGATTATACCAATATTGCTTGTATATTCTACTAGTTATCATCATATAATTACTTTATTCAATACTTTTGGGCAGGAGAAATTTTATTTGAGGTTCTCTATTCTCTAATACTTCCGGCCATCATTATAATCGATTTAATATATATGAGCCTCCTTCTATGTAAGCATGCGTGGAATTCATCAGAATTTTTCTCCGTTTTTTTGCCGTGGACTGCATAAACTGTGACATGATGGTCCGAGTGAAACCTTGAAAAGGAAAATTGCCGAGTTAGAGAAGAAGAGAAAAACAAGAAATCCCAGGAAGAATAAGTTGCTTGTGGATGTTCCTGAGTCCAAAAACTTCCTTTATACAGCAACCATGCCAATGATACTCATTGTTGTGGGGACTGCTCTCTTTGCTAAGCTCCTCATGATGGTATGTAATGAGAAACTTTTTCATTTTCTGTTCTTTTCTGTTTCGGTTGATCTTTGCATCATTTGGTTAAGAATCAAATCTATGAGAGTTGTGAATGAGTGGTATTTTAATTGTAAATTGAACTTTCGAATATAGATAACATGACTTGAAAATAGAATTGAAATAAACTGAAAATTAAAAAAAGAGCCATATAAAATTATAGATAGAAATTGAAAAACAAAAGACCCTGAAAAAAGCTATAGCGGACTAAAAAGGAGTTGAAACTTTGAAGAAAATAAAACCTTGAAAACTGCAGAGATTTGAGAAACTAAGATTTGGATTGAAGTTATGCCAAATTTATTTCCTGCCATATGATGGCACCACAAAACATGAAAGGATTGAGCGAAAGATAAAGGAGACCCCTGGCCTGGGCAGTGTAAGGATGCTCACTCGTGAAGAGTGAGATGCAATTCAAGAAGTGAGACCAAGGACACCATTTGAATCTAAGATAGCACGCCCCAATGCAAAAATACGAACTGGGGAGCCACTTCATAGGGTAAAATTTGTAATATATTTTTTTTTTGTCCCTTCTCACTTTTCACTTTATGAATAGTTGTAAACCTCAGGATAAAATCAATTTGAAGATCTCAGGACAAAATTTAAGTTACAGACATCTCAAATTTGCATAGACTACAATTGGAAAAAGATGTTTATTTCCCCTATTGGATTATATACAACGTTCCTCAACCCCAAATCGATTCAATTCAATCGACTCGTTTTATTATGCGCCTCCGTCTGAACCAAATGGTAATGAGTGCTTCGAGCACTACCCATTGAGTTATTCAAGAGGCCATCAATTTATAACAAATCCATAAAATAATATGGATGTAATTTAAACATAATTCAAAGAGAGTTTTGCGAGTTGGGAGTGTAAACAGGGAGATGTTTGAAGCTGCTTGGAGAACAGATAGCGAGAGTGTACTCATATTTATTTATTTATTTATTTATTGATTAATTTTGTAACGTGATAGTTCTCTAAATTGAGCTAAGACATGATACTCTCGATTGTGCTGGTGCAATTTCTCAGGAAGATATCATGGATTGGACAGTGGATGTGTTTGCAGATGCATTGACACGGGCTGAGGAGATTGCAAAACATGGATCTAACTAAAAATGATAGCTGAACAGTCCCATGGGCCCGTTTGGTTTGTAATGTTTTATTTCTATGATCATAAGATGGCCTTTTGCTGCCCATTTTTTTCTGGCGTTTGTAAATTTATTACATGGAAATGGAAAATCGTAGGTGAATAATGGAGTCAGTCCCCATGGCCATTTCTTGTGGAAGAAATCAGAAATTGAGATGATTTTTATTTTCCTGGAAAAAATGGAAATATGATGTTTGATATGGATTTGTTGTTTTATTTAATTGAGTTATTGGGGCTTTAGGCCCATGTGGTAAGAATACCTATTGGGCTATGCATACGGCTTGAGTCTTTGTTTAGGTGGACATTGAGTTATTAGTTAGGTTATCATTTGTTAAATTGAGATTTTAGGCCTTAGGAGGGAAGTTTCTTCTCCATTTGGATTAAAATTGTTTACTTTTCAATTTGATTAATCATATTTTAGTTTTGTTCTTTTCTTAAATGGCGAAGATTCAGTTCGAAACCGGTTGAATAGGTGAATCGGTACCAGTTCCGGTAAGTGTTGGTGAAAAAGACAAGCTTTTACTTGATTTTTTTTGTTTCTCTAAATTCAAAATCTGCAAATGAAGCTTAAAAGGCAGCAATATGAAAATGAAAATTGAAACCAAGATTGCTAAATTTTTTATTTCTGTCTTCAATTTAGCTGAAAATCACATGAATTTATTTATATAATAAAAACACAAGACAGAGCACGACAAAAAATAAAAATAAAAATAAAAATAAAATAAAAATAAAAATAAAAAACTGATAGTAATTACTAATTCTTTGGGACTTTATCGATATGCTGGATTAAAGCAAGTCTTCTGCACCTTCAGAAAACCAAAAGTCCTAACTATATCACAAATTATCACAAAATCTATACATTCTCAAAACAATATAGAAAATAAAAATACCGACATTCGAGTTTTCAGTGTAACCTATAATCACCACAGATGATGTGTATAGATATATGTATACTCATCCAATAATATTTGGTAATTAAGAGTATTTAGATGGACAGATTCACAAATAGTTGACATTAAAATTTTAAAAAACATTGTGTACAGTGATTAAACCGAGGATAACATTAACAGTGGAATAACAACAAATAAAGCCAACCATGTATATTCGTATTTTCATGCCATATATAATTATATATGTAACGCCCCGTTATTTTTAAGAGAAAAATAGCATTTTATTTTTCCAAAAATAAGAGTTAATTTTTCAAAAATATTTTTAAAGGATTATTTAACGGGCGCTACTCGAATAATCACATAACAAAAGTTAAATCCACACTTAACCATCAGGATACAACCATCCCACATTCAAATCTCAAGTCATATGAAATATGTGATTCAGTAAAACTGTCAAAAGTTAACAAATGATATGGACAACACCTCAATCTTTATCATTTAACTCGAGCTACAGACCTTCAAATGATATGGTTCAAATACCAAATTAAACCATAAATAAAACTCTACATCTTTCATTTAGATCACAGAAACATATAAGACCATTTAGATAGTGAAAAATAGGTTAACATTCAGTTTCAGATTTCTGCCAACATGATAATTCCTAACTCATGCATATCTAACTTCATAAAATCATAACTCAAGAAATAGAGCACATATCAACATGTAATTTATCACATTTTAAAGGTAAGAGACAGATCTATAACTTTCATGATGAGTGTAAGTTCATACGAGCACATTTGTATATGAAAAACAGATCAAATATTAAACACATATATGCTGCCGGGTATGAAAAAAAAACTAGAAGTACAACGAATATTTTAAAAATCATAACTTTTTCGATATAGATCGGAATTTAGAAATTCCAAAGCCTAGATTTAGTAAAATGAAAACACTACAATTCTCATGAAGGTCACGAATTCAAATACTCATTCTAAGATGTGTCAAACCGCAGCACAACAGAACAGTGAAAACTTGACTTCCATAAAATGACAATCATATTCATTTTGGATGTTCGAACTTCAAGCTCGGTTCATAAGAAGCCTCGACAACACGGAATATCATATTTACAGCAGCAAACAATGAACATAGAGAGGATTTCAAAACATCTAACGATATTTGATAATTATTAAACGACAAATTATTAGAATCGAACATATAGGATCACCGAACATAAAATTCACTGAACATAAAATCACGAAATAACACGTAAATAAAATAACGAGAGATCGAGACTCGTTACCGATCTCGGGAAAGATGTTCGAAAACAGAACTAAAAGACGAGCGGCAATCGGCTCGACGGAGGTGATGACGGAAGAGGGCTCGAGCTTGCGGGACGGGGACGCAACGGTGGTCGGGAGTTGCTGTCGGTGGCCGTGAGTCGCTGTCGCGTGGAGGCTGACGGCGAGGGGCTCGTGGCGGCTGGATGCTGCGAGCGGGTGGAGGAGCGTGGGGGGTGGCTGCTCCAGCGTCTTGTGGTGCTACGGAAATGGGCGGCGAGGATGATGGCGGCTTGGAGCTTTTCCGGCGCACAAGAAGAAAAAAAAAGAAAAAGAATAGAGAGAGGGAAGGAGACCGTGTGAGGGAGGAAATGAGGGAAGAAATGAGGGTCAACCATCCCTTTTTATCACCAATCCACAATTGTAACCCCTCTCAAAAAAATAAGGAAGGTAGCTTAAGAAGGGGATCGGTTAGCATGATTTGAGGGATATGGATCAACTTTTTGAATTTCAAAAATTCAATTGAAATCCATGCATGCATGAGGAGGGATGGGCGATGGGCTGGGACCGGTTTTGGGGTTTTCGGGTGGCGGGTTCGAACCGGCCCGATCGATAAAATCACACGCATAATCGTTCAGTTCAAAGTTTCGATTATTTAGAATTTTCGGTACGACCGAAAATAAAATAAATAATACTATTCGGCTCGACATTAAAATTAGTACAATTTAGCAATTACGAGCATAAAACAAAAACAAAATTATTGAGCCCGAATAATTAATTTGGAAAATAAAATAAATGCCAAATAAATAATATTCAATTATTCTCGAACAAATGGGGCGCTACAATCTACCCACCTTAAAAGGAATTCCGACCTCGGAATTTGAAAATAAAACAAATCCAAACCACTAGAAATACAATGGAAAACAAAAGGGATCAAAAAGCGAAGTTCGGATATCTCCTCCTGATATCGGCCTCGATCTCCCAAGTCGCTTCAGACTCATCGTGCCGGCTCCACAGCACCTTCACAAGACTCACTGCCCGGTTCCTCAGCTGATGGACCTTTTAGTCCAGTACGGCAACCGGCACCTCCTCATAGGTAAGGTCTCGCTCGACCTGTAGCTCGCCGAAGTCCACCACGTGGTCGGGATCGTGTACATATCTACGCAGCACCGAGACATGAAACACATCATGAACTCCCGCCAGGCTCGATGGTAAAGTTAGCCGATACGCTAAGTCCCCAACTCGAGCAAGGATCTCAAAGGGACCGATATAGCGAGGCCGAAGCTTCCCCTTCTTTCCGAAGCGAATGTGGCACCCCGCCTTACTAACTTTGAAAACTCAGAGTAAAATTTTCGCTTTTGTTTTCGAAAAGTGGTGCGAGCTTAGTTTTTCGAAAACACTAACTTGTTGCGGGATGACACAGATAAAGACTTTACCTAACTTGCTCACAGACATAAATAGAACATGCAACCAAACTATCCGCTACGGATATGGAATCACACATGCAATGTCTGGACTGTCTCGCACTGTCTAAAGTCTGCTAGCGGAAGCATCCGGAATACAGAAATACACAGAGTATATGCATACATATCTGAATGGATACATGATCATAAAATTAAGGATATAAAATGTGCATAAAAATGTCCTCGCTGTCATGACCACGCTTCGCCACGCATAGCTCACCCGGCACGCTCGACTCCATCTCCTGAAAAACACAATGGGGGCGTAAGCAAACCACTATGCTCCACAAAGACCAATACTGAATAAGACATCATGTATAATAATAAATATATAAAAGCTGAACTTTAAACTTTTTTTTTCTTTCTTTACTGTGGTCAAAAGACCCTCGGCCCTTAGGTCGACCGCTCGTGTGCACTACCCGATCTGCGGGTACCAGGTAAAACTCGAAAGGCCCTTAAGTCGGTCAATCACCTGGGACAACTAACTGTCTCGAACATACTTTTGCCATGGTACAGATATTATATATAATGTGGAATCCAGTACATGACCCCTACCTGATAACAGAGCTGATGCAAGTGCTGAAACTGGAATAGCTGTCGGAGGCTCGACTCTCCTTAGGCTACATAAACATTTAAGCAAAATATGCTAAGTATCATGCTCGGAATATTTATTTATATGCTAAAAATGCTCGGACTATTTATGCTAAGACTGGACTGGCTCGGC